GGGTGGAAGGTGGGGAGAGGAAATGGGGAGACAAGATAGGGAGGAGGAGGAAGAAGAGGAGCTGCTTACGGTGTGCTAAATATGCCATTGACTTTTGCGGTGAAGCGAAGTGAAGTGGAGTGAGGCGTAGGACGTAGGACGTGTTGGCGGTTGAGTGATTCGTTGTGTGCGTTGGTAGGTTGGTTGCATGGTTTTCCCCCACCCTATAACCCACCTGCCCCGCTTTCCCGGGGTTTTGGATCCAGGTTCCCCTGGAGTCCGCCTTGCTGCATGCCAAATTGGATCTAACCCTCATCGCCATTCTCTCCAAGGGGAATGACTACCTGCCAGGGTTGAAGGGAGTGGCGCTGGAGGGTGGGTGGGGTGGGGAGGAAGAGGAGGGGGGAGGGGGGGAAGGAGGGAAAGAGGAGGGGGGAGGGGGGAGGGGAAGAGGAGGGGGGAGGGGGGGAAGGAGGGGAAGAGGAGGGGGGAGAGGAAGAGGAGGGGGAACGGGAAGAGGAGGGGGGAGGGAAGGTCGACGCCAACCAGAACGCCACCCAGCTAGGAGGGGAGGGGGACGGAGTTGTCGGTCAGGTGAGTCAGGGGCGACTGTCTGACGATTGTTTGGAGCTGATCGGCTTGACCTTTATTATCGGCTTGTTGTTGTTGGTGGTGGTGTTGGTGGTGGTGTTCGTGGTGTTATTACAGCGGGCTACCAAGCTTCTCAATGTCTGGAAGCGAAGGAGCTCTGTGTAGAAGTAAAAGATAGTGAAGATAGTACGATTGTTGAATATGTTACTCATTTCTATGGTTTTACACACCCGTCTCACTCTCCTACTAACCACCTCGCTCAACCACCAACCTCCACTTGCTACGCACGCAACACACACGCAACACACACACACACACACACACACACACACACACACACACACACACACACGACACGACACGACACGCGCGCGGGCAAACGAATCAGGTCCGGGTCGGTCGGGGCTCTGGGCTCGATACGAGGCCGCAGCCGCCAAGCTTGGTGGGGATGGCGGTGGCGGCGGTGGCGGCGGCGGGGGGGCTGGTGGCCGCAACCCGCAGCAACAGCCGCAGCAGGCCCCCTCCTCCCCCTCCCCCCGCTCCCCCCGCTCCCCACCCCCGGCGGTGGCGGTGGCGGTGGCGGCGCTGCCCGCTGGCGCCATTTCCGCCACCGGATCGGTGACCTCCGTGGACCCCGTGACGGGGGCGCCAAGACTGGACGCGGCGGCGCTGGCCAAGATGCTGAAGCTGGCGGGGGTGGCGGGTGAGAGGCGGGGGGATCGTGTGTGTGTGTATTGGTGCCGGGTGTCTGCGTGTGTCTGTATGTGGAAGGGGGGTGGGGTAGGGGCAGCGGGGGGAGGAGCGGGATGGGCTGGGAAATACGTGAGGCGATGAGGTGTTTGTATGTATATGTATGTCCGTATATGATACCTACCTACCTACCTACCTACCTGCTTTCCTGGCTGTGTGATTCGCAACCTCACCCCAGTAACCCCCCTCATTCCAACGCTTGCGTGCTCGCTCGACCCCCCTCTTTCACCTCCCCTCCCACCCACCAACCCACACACAGCCACACACACACACACATGCACACACACATGCACACATACAAGCCCCCTTCCCCCCCTCCCCTC